CCATCTGACTCTCCCTTAATTAGCATGTCAAGTGGTGCCGGTTGACCATCTCACTCTCCCTTAATTAGCAAGCACGTCTTGTGGTGTTAGTTGACCATCGGACTCTCCCTTAATGAGCACGTCAAATGGTGCCGGTTGACCATCGGACTCTCCCTTAATGAGCATATCAAGTGGTGCCGCTTGACCATCTGACTCTCCCTTAATGAGCATGTCATGTGGTGCCGGTTGACCATCTGACTCTCCCTTAATTAGCAAGCACGTCTTGTGGTGTTAGTTGACCATCGGACTCTCCCTTAATTAGCATGTCATGTGGTGCTGGTTGACCAGCTGACTCTCCCTTAATGAGCACGTCAAGTGGTGCCGGTTGACCATCTGACTCTCCCTTAATTAGCATGTCATGTGGTGCTGGTTGACCAGCTGACTCTCCCTTAATGAGCATGTCAAGTGGTGCCGGTTGACCATCTGACTCTCCCTTAATGAGCATGTCAAGTGGTGCCGGTTGACCATCTGACTCTCCCTTAATTAGTAAGCACGACTTGTGGTGTTAGTTGACCATCGGACTCTCCCTTAATGAGCATGTCAAGTGGTGCCGGTTGACCATCTGACTCTCCCTTAATGAGCATGTCAAGTGGTGCCGTTGACCATCTGACTTCCCTTAATTAGCAAGCACGCCTTGTGGTGTTAGTTGACCATCGGACTCTCCTTAATGAGCACGTCAAGTGGTGCCGGTTGACCATCGGACTCTCCCTTAATGAGCATATCAAGTGGTGCCGCTTGACCATCTGACTCTCCCTTAATGAGCACGTCAAGTGGTGCCGGTTGACCATCTGACTCTCCCTTAATTAGCAAGCACGTCATGTGGTGTTAGTTGACCATCGGACTCTCCCTTAATGAGCACGTCAAGTGGTGCCGGTTGACCATCGGACTCTCCCTTAATGAGCACGTCAAGTGGTGCCGGTTGACCATCTGACTCTCCCTTAATGAGCATGTCAAGTGGTGCCGGTTGACCATCTGACTCTCCCTTAATGAGCATATCATGTGGTGCCGGTTGACCATCTGACTCTCCCTTAATGAGCACGTCATGTGGTGTTAGTTGACCATCTGACTCTCCCTTAATTAGCAAGCACGTCATGTGGTGTTAGATGACCATCGGACTCTCCCTTAATGAGCACGTCAAGTGGTGCCGGTTGACCATCGGACTCTCCCTTAATGAGCATATCAAGTGGTGCCGGTTGACCATCTGACTCTCCCTTAATGAGCATATCAAGTGGTGCCGGTTGACCATCTGACTCTCCCTTAATTAGCAAGCACGTCTAGTGGTGTTAGTTGACCATCTGACTCTCCCTTAATGAGCATGTCAAGTGGTGCCGGTTGACCATCTCACTCTCCCTTAATTAGCAAGCTTTGTGGTGTTAGTTGACCATCGGACTCTCCCTTAATGAGCACGTCAAATGGTGCCGGTTGACCATCGGACTCTCCCTTAATGAGCATATCAAGTGGTGCCGGTTGACCATCTGACTCTCCCTTAATGAGCATGTCAAGTAATGCCGGTTGACCATCTGACTCTCCCTTAATTAGCAAGCGTCTTGTGGTGTTAGTTGACCATCGGACTCTCCCTTTAATTAGCATGTCATGTGGTGCTGGTTGACCAGCTGACTCTCCCTTTAATGAGCACGTCAAGTGGTGCCGGTTGACCATCTGACTCTCCCTTAATTAGCATGTCATGTGGTGCTGTTGACCAGTGACTCTCCCTTAATGAGCATGTCAAGGGTGCCGGTTGACCATCTGACTCTCCCTTAATGAGCATGTCAAGTGGTGCCGGTTGACCATCTGACTCTCCCTTAATTAGCAAGCACGACTTGTGGTGTTAGTTGACCATCGGACTCTCCCTTAATGAGCATGTCAAGTGGTGCCGGTTGACCATCTGACTCTCCCTTAATGAGCATATCAAGTGGTGCCGGTTGACCATCTGACTCTCCCTTAATTAGCAAGCACGTCTAGTGGTGTTAGTTGACCATCGGACTCTCCCTTAATGAGCACGTCAAGTGGTGCCGGTTGACCATCGGACTCTCCCTTAATGAGCATGTCAAGTGGTGCCGGTTGACCATCTGACTCTCCCTTAATGAGCATGTCAAGTGGTGCCGGTTGACCATCTGACTCTCCCTTAATTAGCAAGCACGTCTTGTGGTGTTAGTTGACCATCGGACTCTCCCTTAATGAGCACGTCAAGTGGTGCCGGTTGACCATCGGACTCTCCCTTAATGAGCATATCAAGTGGTGCCGCTTGACCATCTGACTCTCCCTTAATGAGCACGTCAAGTGGTGCCGGTTGACCATCTGACTCTCCCTTAATTAGCAAGCACGTCATGTGGTGTTAGATGACCATCGGACTCTCCCTTAATGAGCACGTCAAGTGGTGCCGGTTGACCATCGGACTCTCCCTTAATGAGCACGTCAAGTGGTGCCGGTTGACCATCTGACTCTCCCTTAATGAGCATATCAAGTGGTGCCGGTTGACCATCGGACTCTCCCTTAATGAGCATATCAAGTGGTGCCGGTTGACCATCTGACTCTCCCTTAATGAGCACGTCATGTGGTGTTAGTTGACCATCTGACTCTCCCTTAATTAGCAAGCACGTCATGTGGTGTTAGATGACCATCGGACTCTCCCTTAATGAGCACGTCAAGTGGTGCCGGTTGACCATCGGACTCTCCCTTAATGAGCATATCAAGTGGTGCCGGTTGACCATCTGACTCTCCCTTAATGAGCATATCAAGTGGTGCCGCTGACCATCTGACTCTCCCTTAATTAGCAAGCACGCCTAGTGGTGCCGGTTGACCATCGGACTCTCCCTTAATGAGCACGTCAAGTGGCGCCGGGTTGACCATCGGACTCTCCTTAATGAGCATGTCAAATGGTGCCGGTTGACCATCTGACTCTCCCTTAATGAGCATGTCAAGTGGTGCCGGTTGACCATCTGACTCTCCCTTAATTAGCAAGCACGTCTTGTGGTGTTAGTTGACCATCGGACTCTCCCCTTAATGAGCACGTCAAGTGGTGCCGGTTGACCATCGGACTCTCCCCTTAATGAGCATATCAAGTGGTGCCGCTTGACCATCTGACTCTCCTTAATGAGCACGTCAAGTGGTGCCGGTTAACCATCTGACTCTCCCTTAATTAGCAAGCACGTCATGTGGTGTTAGATGACCATCGGACTCTCCCTTAATGAGCACGTCAAGTGGTGCCGGTTGACCATCGGACTCTCCCTTAATGAGCATATCAAGTGGTGCCGGTTGACCATCTGACTCTCCCTTAATGAGCACGTCATGTGGTGCCGGTTGACCATCGGACTCTCCCTTAATGAGCACGTCATGTGGTGCTAGTTGACCATCTGATTCTTCCTTAATTAGCATGTCAAGTGGTGCCGGTTGACCATCTCACTCTCCCTTAATTAGCAAGCACGTCTTGTGGTGTTAGTTGACCATCGGACTCTCCCTTAATGAGCACGTCAAATGGTGCCGGTTGACCATCGGACTCTCCCTTAATGAGCATATCAAGTGGTGCCGCTTGACCATCTGACTCTCCCTTAATGAGCATGTCAAGTAATGCCGGTTGACCATCTGACTCTCCCTTAATTAGCAAGCACGTCTTGTGGTGTTAGATGACCATCGGACTCTCCCTTAATGAGCACGTCAAGTGGTGCCGGTTGACCATCGGACTCTCCCTTAATGAGCATATCAAGTGGTGCCGGTTGACCATCGGACTCTCCCTTAATGAGCACGTCAAGTGGTGCCGCTTGACCATCTGACTCTCCCTTAATGAGCACGTCAAGTGGTGCCGGTTGACCATCTGACTTTCCCTTAATGAGCACGTCATGTGGTGTTAGTTGACCATCTGACTCTTCCTTAATTAGCAAGCACGTCTTGTGGTGTTAGTTGACCATCGGACTCTCCCTTAATGAGCACGTCAAGTGGTGCCGATTGACCATCGGACTCTCCCTTAATGAGCATATCAAGTGGTGCCGGTTGACCATCTGACTCTCCCTTAATGAGCACGTCATGTGGTGCCGGTTGACCATCTGACTCTCCCTTAATGAGCACGTCATGTGGTGCTAGTTGACCATCTGACTCTTCCTTAATTAGCAAGCACGTCTTGTGGTGTTAGTTGACCACCTGACTCTTCCTTAATTAGCATGTCATGTGGTGCAACTGACTCTCCCTTAATGAGTATGTCGTGTGGTGCTGCTTGACCACCTGATTGTCCCTTAATGAGCTCGTGAAGTGGTGCTGGTCGACCATCTGACTCTCCCTTAATGAGCTTGTCGTAAGATGCGACTAGAGGGATCGGGTGGTCAGACTCGCTGACTTGGTTGACACATGTTATCGTATCCCAATTGCGTAGATCGATGCTCATGCAGGTGATCACTTGATTGTCTGGTCCAGACTCGATTATTTACACACCGCCGCCATATTGCTGTAAAACGCTAAAACAATTGGTTTTCCGTGTCTTATTGTGGGGGAAAAATACCAACCACAATGTTTGATACAAAACCTTTATTACTTCATGAAACACATACACTGCATAATGTCATTCAGTCACTCACTAACTCAACAAGAAAAACTACGTTATGTGCTCTTTCTCTGTAAACATTATGATCGATCTTAGTGTTTATGCACATTTTCCGATCAGCTTGTACTTACAATGTATAACTTCTAGTAACTGAACACAGATATCTGAGACAGGGTGTCCTTGAACGTGTTTTAAAAAACAGAAAGAAGCTTATCTAATTTACAAAGTGATGAAATAATTGTGTAATGAACTGTCTATATAAAATGAAGCTGACATCACCTTTGCCCAAAAGCCGATAAACATAACAAAACAAAATTGATTTTTTAAGGAGAACGATGATAGTCCGTGATAGTAGAAGTCGAGGTCACGTTAAAGGTATGACCAGAAACCTGAATCGTTAGTCGATAGATGGGCACTTCGCTTGAGGAGCTCAAGACAGTGGACGATCCTCACAGTCTACATTCGCTCTCCAGTCGCACTTCCGCTTGCTGGAGGAGAAGGCGCTGTTGGCGGGGCACTTGATTCTGGCGACGACGCGGCCGTAGTTACACTTGAAGAAGCGGGCGCAGTGGGTGGGGTCAAAGACGTCTCCATTAGTTGTACCCTCGCAAGGGGTGTCGATGATGGGACTAGCAGTAGCTGGATATGAAATGTGTTGCTGTTACTGTAGGTTCATTGTAAGAGGACAGAAGGACATACTGCTGGCTTGAACACGTCACAAGCAACGTTTAAAATGACTAAAGAATTCACTATAGCTTCTTACCAAACATTGAAGTCCTTATACAAATTGATTTTATTCTATTTTATTATGATTATGAATTCCAAACATTTTCATCTCATTCCTTAGTGATTAAAACGATCGGATTAAACAAAAACGACAGTCGAAGCACCTTTTTTCTATTGTTAATCCTATCAGAGTCGATTATGATGATTTTAAGCCTTTTTGAACGGCGAAATAATGTTCGACTGTTTGTCAAATAACTGTCTCACGTTACGTCATTGTTTGAAACGCCACAATTACCTCTGTTTTCTCTTTAGCTTACGCAATTAGCATCAATTGCAGGCCATGTAACTCGTGAAATTCGGTGTACAATGAAATGCATGAACCAAGTCAGCTAGACACGTAACCTAACAAAGACGATGGCGAATGAGTGTGTACTTACTGACAACCACGTGATCTGGGATAAGTCGGGTCCGACATTCAGCTGCCACCAGAAAGCTGAGCTCGCACGTGTGGTTCTTGGTGGAGAAGAGCGTGTTCTCTGGACACTGCATCGTGGCCACCACTGTCCGGTTGGTGCAGGCCAGGAACTGGGCACAGTTGTCAGGGTCGGGGTTCATTCCACTGGGGAGGACACACCGCTCGTCGTCTGGGGAGGAAATACTTCATTGTATCATGGGAAAGTATGGAACACACCACAGAAGACGTCACAGACCACTTCACACACGTCACAGAATACTCACAGAACATGTCATGGAGCACGAGATTGTTCGGTAGAAACAGAACACTTAGGAAACTGCTCTTGACAGCACCCATGGGCTTTTCAGAATGATTTGTTATCCTTGTTTTGAACACACAGTTGCCTGTGTGTTTAGTGTCTGTGAGTATCTCGGGAGAACACCTTACAGCAATTCCAGCCGGGTTTAACATATCTTCCCATCATTTGTTTATTCGCATGAAGCTTATGTTTCAAACACTTCCCTAAGCATTCAAAACAAATCTTACCTTCGTCCTTGTTTTACATGTTATTACTGAACGTGGATTCTAATAATAACATATCCTAAACATAAATAAAAACATTCTACAATGTAACAGCAAAAGTTCTGCCACGGTTCAACGTGTTTGTGTTGTATATGGAATCCCCTGATATCTTTGTTTATGGTATTAACGACCGTGATAGCCTTTGGACAGTAGACTTACTCGCACAGAATTTGGGAGAAATTCTAATCAAATTGCAAATATTATTTAAGCAACAATTGCAAGCATGGCAGATAATTCATATGATGACATCTTTGTTATCACGCTATTCACCCGACAACGTTGTCACACAAACTAAAACATTTTTTGTTAGATTTCATCCCTAATGAAAAGTGTTTTACAATTCGGGATTAAACACAGAAAGCCAAACCTGAGGTACTCACTGATGGCGGGCGTAGTCATCACTTGATTACAGTCGTCCCACTGGGACATTGGCTCCACGCAGGCATGGCCGATGTTGGACCATACTCGACTGTCGTTGCAGTTTATAGTCCAATATTTCTTGCCTTGTACACAGAAATGAACTTTACTGCAGTCTTGGTTGTCTCTGGTCCACTCCGTTGTCCATGGGTCTTTACATCCGGGGTCTGCTCCGAAATTCTCGGAAGAAAAATCGGTGGAATCGACGGCATTCAAAAACAAAATGGCGGCAAGTCCAAAAACGAATATGAAAATATGCACCCTTAAGCCCATTGCGTTGAGAGAAGTATGAGGAGTGGAATCGACCGAGGGATATTAGGGGGCAGCCCTTTATAGATTTTCCGACGTGTCACTTTTTTACAGGTTGACTCCAAAAACGTACTCCAAGAACTGATTTGTCATGTTTGCAGTGAAGGAGAGTCCACAGGAGGGGGGCTCCAGGGAACTTCCCGACATGGACCTGTACTTAACCCGATGTCCTACAGAGACCCCAGAATGACAAACCGACGGGCATAGACGACTGTTTACACCAACTTTATTTGTAGTTTGTCGTGAAACCGGAAGCCAAATTGTCCATGTAAACACTTTTCTTTGTTTTGCGGCAAGAAGGTTTGTCGTCTGAGACATGTCAGGACAAGCGGTGAGACTGAGTGTCCCTTAAACGTGATCCCCCAGACGAAATATTGTGCGTGGTGGTCAAGGTTTATGGTAGCACTGCCATGAACATGAGGTTGGTCATATTCGGGTACAATCAACCTCTAATCGAGGACAGAACTCCCGGCAATTATAATCCTATTTGACATACGGACTCTTGACATCATAGACACGAAATAACTTGAAGAGAAGAGAAGGTCACATTTGTGTCATGGTCAAGGTCACACGATTGTCTCTCGAGCGAAACAGTTCGTTTATCAACCAAGGAGACTGTTATTGAGTGCATTAGGTCTCTGTTTGCTTGTTGTTTGAGGCCGCACTCAGCATCTGTCAATAATCATGTTTGGACAAGATAATCCAGTGTATTACATCATGGGTAGCAATATGTACAACTATGATACGATGGCAAGTCAGCGAGTCTGACTATCGGATCCTGTTAGTTGCCCCTTACAAGCTTGGCCTACAGAAGACCAGATCGAACTCGGGGCTTCACGGGCGCTTTGATTGGTAAGGATTTTCTTGAGGAAAACTAGTTGTAAGTAAAGAAAAGCGTTCTCTTGTCGTTGAAACAGATTTTAATTAAAGATTCTGTGGAATTATGAGGAATGTTTTCGTAAATGTAATGCCACTATTTGATGACGTATATTTGAACCCTATCATTGTTTCCTGGTTACAGTGATGTATGGAGAGAACCACCTCGTACCTGGACGTTCAGTGAGAGTTTGTTGAGGTGAATTTGCCTACAAAGAGTGAGTGCATCGTGTCAAACCTACAAGTACATGTGAGGTGCTGACAAAGAGCAATCATAGCGAGGGGCAAAGTATGGTTTGATTAAATATATGTGTGTATCATTGTGTTCGTGTGTGCGTGCGCGCGCGTGTGTGTGTAGATGAATGCTAAGAAATGCTGTACCATTTCATTATAGTTACGGCTCACTGTCGGCTTATGGCACCTGGTCAGAATGTGGCAACTGACCCAATGAAATGCGATTCAGGCCTCTGACAATATACCTTGGTGGATATGTCAATAAAAGCCTGGTACTGAATAGAATGATAGCTAGCACTATGTTCAAATAGGTTTTTCAGGGCATTTAACGGTTGGCACGGGGGAAAACACGGGTCTTCAAAACGCATTATCCACATCTTTTATTGTAAATGTGAAAGTTCACAAGAGGGGTGAGGGAGGACGGGGAAGGGTTGTGTCTATACAAACATATATTAAGACAATTAAAAGCCTAGTGTTAAATGAAAACAATTTTATTTCTTCATAAAACACATACACTACATAATGTCATTCATTCAGTTACTAACTCTAATCTCCAAAAACACGTTAATATTTATACGTGGGTTCTGATCAGTTCACATATTCCAATCGTCATCCATATCTTACTATGTCTATTGACGGAACACAATTATTTGAGACAGTATGGTATTAACAGTATAATACCAGTTTTACAAAAACTGTTGGCCCTAGCTATGTTGACCAAACATATGATACATGAGGAATGAGATGTGTTTTGAACGAAAATTGTGAAATCAAAAAGGCCCTCACTCAGTTGCCTTCAGAAGTAGACAAAAGGATTAGACAACAAAAAAACAAACAAACATATCTTTAAATACAACGGTGATATTAATGATAATTCAAGTTAAGTTGCTGTTGCATCTTATCAGTGTATTCTCATGTGACGCGTGGAAGCAGAATCATTAGAGGATAGATGGTCACGTGATCGAATGGGCTCAGGACAGAGGACGGTCCCCGCAGTCCACGTTTGCTCTCCAGTCGCACTTGACCTTCGCGGTAGAAAAGGCGCTGTTGGCGGGGCACTTGATTCTGGCAACGACGCGGCCGTAGTTGCACTTGTAGAAGCGGGCACAGTGAGTTGGGTCGTGCACGTCGCCGTTCTTGGTTCCCTCGCAAGGCTTGTCGATGATTGGACTAGCGGTAGCTGAAGTGGAGATGTGTGGATGTTATTAGCCATGAAATATACCTGATATACGTGAGGGATAAATCTTTAACAGGCATTTAAATGTTGTAAAACAGGATCACGTGACAGTGTTAATGATAACAATGTTATATTTGGGATTACACTTTTTCAGTTAAGTACAGACTCTATTACTTTTGTTGGCTTGAGTCCATCAGGGATTCGAACACACTCTCGGAGACAGGATTCAACCCAACAAAAGTACTAGACTCTGTGCTTTACTTAAAGAGTGTAATCCCAAATGTAACGTGATACATCTGACCACTTTCTAAATGGCAATATGTATTCAGTGTTAATGATAACATCATTTTCCCAGAAGCATAGACAAGACATTACCATGGACAATCGGATAAAACTGTAGCCAAATCGTTTCATGTAATCATACTCGTAAATTAGCAGGACTTACATTACGTCTGTATATAAAATAATATTCACTATCTCAGACAAATAATCTGGATAAATATCTTGTTCAGCAGACGTTTTCAAACTAAACTATTTACCTCTGTGTAATGTAATATATAATTTTATCAAATATTGCGTTGCGTCTCTCATACATCGCTCTCCTCTCACTCGCCGCCTACATAGATATCTCAGTGTACATATATGTCTCTCATACAGCTATCCCTCCCCTCACTCGCCGCCAACATAGATCTCTCAGTGTACATATATGTGTCTCTCATACACCTCTCTCTCCTCACACTCGCCGCCTACATAGATCTCTCAGTGTACACGTGTGTCTCTCATACACCTCTCTCTCCTCTCACTCGCCACCTACATAGATCTCTCAGTGTACATATGTGTCTCTCATACATCTCTCTCTCCTCTCACTCGCCACCTACATAGATCTCTCAGTGTACATGTGTGTCTCTCATACATCTCTCTCTCCTCTCACTCGCCGCCTACATAGATCTCTCAGTGTACATGTGTGTCTCTCATACACCTCTCTCTCCTCTCACTCGCCACCTACATAGATCTCTCAGTGTACATGTGTGTCTCTCATACACCTCTCTCTCTCCTCTCACTCGCCGCCTACATAGATCTCTCAGTGTACATGTGTGTCTCTCATACACCTCTCTCTCCTCTCACTCGCCGCCTACATAGATCTCTCAGTGTACATGTGTGTCTCTCATACATCTCTCTCTCCTCTCACTCGCCGCCTACATAGATCTCTCAGTGTACATGTGTGTCTCTCATACATCTCTCTCTCTCTCACTCGCCGCCTACATAGATCTCTCTCAGTGTCTCTCACTCTCTCTCTCGCCTCCTACATAGATCTCTCTCAGTGTACATGTGTGTCTCTCATACACCTCTCTCTCTCCTCTCACTCGCCGCCTACATAGATCTCTCAGTGTACATGTGTGTCTCTCATACATCTCTCTCTCCTCTCACTCGCCGCCTACATAGATCTCTCAGTGTACATGTGTGTCTCTCATACATCTCTCTCCTCTCACTCGCCGCCTACATAGATCTCTCAGTGTACATGTGTCTCTCATACACCTCTCTCTCCTCTCACTCGCCGCCACATAGATCTCTCAGTGTACATGTGTGTCTCTCATACACATCATCTCTCTCCTCTCACTCTCGCCGCCTACATAGATCTCTCTCAGTGTACATGTGTGTCTCTCATACACCTCTCTCTCTCCTCTCACTCGCCGCCTACATAGATCTCTCAGTGTACATATATGTCTCTCATACACCTCTCTCTCCTCTCACTCGCCGCCTACATAGATCTCTCAGTGTACATATGTGTGTCTCTCTCATACACCTCTCTCTCTCCCTCCTCACTCGCCGCCTACATAGATCTCTCAGTGTACATGTGTGTCTCTCATACACTCTCTCTCTCCTCTCACTCGCCGCCTACATAGATCTCTCAGTGTACATGTCTCATACCTCTCTCATACCACTACCATTCATAGATCCTCTCTCTCACTCGCCGCCTACATAGATCTCTCAGGTGTACATGTGTGTCTCCTCTCTCATACCTCTCTCTCTCCTCTCACTCGCCGCCTACATAGATCTCTCAGTGTACATATGTGTCTCTCATACACCTCTCTCTCCTCTCACTCGCCGCCTACATAGATCTCTCAGTGTACATATGTGTCTCTCTCATACAACTCTCTCTCCTCTCACTCGCCGCCTACATAGATCTCTCAGTGTACATGTGTCTCATACATCCTCTCTCTCTCCTCTCACTCGCCGCCTACATAGATCTCTCTCGGTGTACATATGTGTCTCTCATACAACTCTCTCTCTCTCTCACTCGCCGCCTACATAGATCTCTCAGTGTACATGTGTGTCTCTCATACATCTCTCTCTCCTCTCACTCGCCGCCTACATAGATCTCTCAGTGTACATGTGTGTCTCTCATACATCTCTCTCTCCTCTCACTCGCCGCCTACATAGATCTCTCAGTGTACATATATGTGTCTCTCATACAACTCTCTCTCCTCTCACTCGCCGCCTACATAGATCTCTCAGTGTACATGTGTGTCCTCATACATGTGTCTCTCATCACCTCTCTCTCCTCTCACTCGCCGCCTACATAGATCTCTCAGTGTACATGTGTGTCTCTCATACACTCTCTCTCCTCCTCACTCGCCGCCTACATAGATCTCTCACATATATGTGTCTCTCATAC